GACCGCTTCAATGATGAGCATTTCGTCGTCCGCAGCTCGAGATGGAAAAGGAAAACTGAAACTACGATTTTCTTGAAAATGGATTTGATCAGCTGCTGCACAACTAAATTCACCGATTGATATTTGAGGCCCAATTTAAGCCCCAAAACGAAACCTTACGAGTGCATTTCACTCGCTATACCACCTGGCGTACAAACCTTGACCCTACACCCTTACACCCAACCAATTTTTTTCGATTGGCTAACGATGTCATATCATCCTTGCAGATGCAACTTTACCGATTACATTAATCATCAAACCTTGTTTACTGGGTAATTTTTATGTAAAGGGGTAAAGTAGGGTATGTAAAGGTATCCAATAAATACCGATTAGAGGTAGTGGTGAGGTAAAGGAAGAACAAAACTGTTACCCGGTGACCTTTTGCCTTACCTTGCAGAGGCCTAGTCGTTTGTGTGGCGCACGCTTGCGATGGATGAAATTTGTTTGAAGGTGAATAAGATAGGGATGCAAGATCTAAAGCTCGCCTTTTAATGTAAGGATTTCAAGTTTATAGAACTAAAATTAGTTGCAAGAACTATAAAGCAGCAGTTACTGAAGAATGACCATGAATACTATTATTGTCCGTATCTACCCGGTACAGTTACTCGGGCAACGCTATCAGACTTTTCTTATGAACGACGCGCGTTTGCTTGTGTGATTATAGGCACCTTTTGTAATGAAGCAAATTACTGAATTAACACAAAATAGTTGCTTAAAATTTTATATTCGTAGACAGGTGCTGTGCCCCAATATCGGGCACAGCAAAACATCTTTTACTATTAAATTTACTGAGGGTCTAAAGACCTATTTTCGAACAATGATAAACTGCCTGAATATGAGCGGCAACTGGAAAGACAGGTACAAAGTCTTTCATAGTACGAATTAAAACCTCACTGATTCATGCGAATAAAACACCGTAATATTAAAGTAAAATTTTGGAAAACGTTGCCACCCACCACCCAAATATATTACCGTAAACTACTCGTTTTACGCATTCTCATTGGTAGGATTTCGATAACCGTTGTGAAAATTATATTTCTTACCTTAATTTACCCGATTTACGCTTTTGATTGGTGGTATTGAGAATACTACCATCGGAAATTCCGTCCTGTTTAATCCTACTTTACATACCGCAATATAAGATAAACAATCCCCTTCTTCATCCAACTCGTTAATCTTTTCACTACAATCATCAATCTATATAATCACGGAATAGTCTTAAAATGAAAAGCTACGTAGTGGTGTAACCCTGTCGACCTCCTACTCTTGAATGCAGTTTATACCTTCTCACTCGTCCCTTTCAATAGCAGCCTTGTTGAATTCGCGCTTCTTGTATCCTTTGCTACATCAAAGGAAAAAGAAGTCAAGGTATATTACTCCATGAGCGTCGAACATTTACCCACTTATCCGCTTTTGGTCCACGCACGCCAACAGTCACATACCAGAGCACCACCACAGAATTTCCTGTCGTGGCAAACAAAAATTAGCTCCATATGAGCGATCCATACGTACTTCAGTCCATCATTGACAACGCTCTCTCCCACGTGACACATGCACTGGAGTCTTGCAGAATTACGTCTTGGCCTCACATTTATGAATACGAGTGCCGTAGGGTTTTTTACACGATCAAATTTATAACGAACTAGTTAAGTAGAGCTTATTCATACCGTAGATTGTCCCCCACCGAAGGGTGCTGCCACTACTTACAACCAGAATTCCAGAATTAAGTTGAGAAAGTAGCTGAATAATAAATAACCACACGTCGCCGACTCATAGACATGCATAAAATGTACGTATCTAGTATTTTAGGCTTAGGCCTTTTTAAGCGTTTCATGCAAGCTAGCGGCGGGACGTTCTAGCCCCTTCAAATCTGGTAGCACTTAGCATTTCTTCCTATACTTGAGTTTGAGATGAGCGAATCGTATATTTTGACGCTCCAAATTTGATTCCGGAGCACGTGACCTGCCCTCATATCGCTGGTGCAAAGTGGGATGCCCTCGGTCACCTTGCAGCGATATCGGGAGAGGCATTCGTTGCGTCCCTGATGAGATCAGCGATCCCGTATGAACAACGTCTCGTCACACAAAAATGTAAATGGCATATTTACCATTTGAGATTATTTCAACACCAAAGTATAATAGAACCTACAATTTATTCAACTAAAAACTTAGTTACAGTCCAATTTCTTATAATAATGTGAAATGCACGTAAAAACCCTTTCAAAACTTTAAAAATTTAAAAGGCACATTTTCGTAAATTGAATGCTTAGCATCTAATTTGATTTTATATTTAAACGTTTAATTAAAATTGCAATCTTTTTGAAATTAACGATCTTAATTGAATTTTAAAATCATTGATTTTATGGCCCGCGAGCTCACCGGATCCAATCACGGACGTTTAACTCACTTGCGATGTTCACGAATAGATTCCGTGCTAAATGAAGCTTTCTAATTCTTAGGAGAAGGTAAGGATTGATTGTCGATGAATCGGCAGTTTTGGAAGTGTACATTGCTGTGGTGAATTGGGCTTTCTAGACTGCATATCGAGCTCCGAGGATACTTACTGCAACGTACTACCGACTTACGGGGGAGGGGGTACTCCGATTCGGCGTTTGGACCTTGACTAACTTTTTGTACCCGTCGACTAGCGGGTCACACTCTTCGGTCGAATTGGACTGAGAGAAAGTGGTCTTGGTCTTGATAGAGGTAGACCTAAGCCCCAAGAGGATATGCTTCTTTTGGGTAAGCCGGTGGGTTACAACTTGATCACCTCAGTCGAGAGTGGGCGTAAAACCGAGTTATTCAGGTAGCTTGTCGCTCCTGGCCTTTTCCTTGTTGTCTTCGAGGTGTTAACCTCTTGATCTTTATTTTGTTCCCTAAATCGTGCGGTAGGGAGACCGCTTCCGATAGCGGGTTTTGAGGGGGTGGGCGGTGTTGCCATTCGACGGAATCACAGGTTGTATAATTCTTATGGCTCTATCTGTACTTAAGGTTTACCTTGCGTTTGCATTTGACGGGGGTGGGGTTGTCCTATCTGGATCAGGCGGGCACACTTACAAAACCATAACACACGACATGGTCATGCCATATAGATTCAAATTGAGTAGTTTTTAATACCGTTCTATCTATTGACTTCCTTACTGTATCCATCCTTTGTGGTTTAAATTTTTGTGTGGCTGTTCAGGAGAAGCCGAATCTTGAAGGACCTCGGTCAACCGATGAGGGACCAGGGTCTATCTATTGGGGACCAGGTTTACGGACGAGGGACCAGGCCACCCATCGAGGGATCTAGGTAAACCGATATGAGACTAGACCTTCTATTGAGGGATTGCGGTCTACCCTCAAAGACCGCAGGATACTCTTGGAAACCTAATTCACCAATGAGGATTTGTAGTCATCTTCTTTTGGTACCGCTTAACCGGCTTTCGAGCCACGGTCGTCTCCTTGATAGGCTCTACGGTTCCTTCTTCCCAGAGGGTCCATCACATTCGTGACTTCTTCTACCAGGCACCCTTTCATTGGAAGTACCCCCTTGTCCCTTAGTCTTGATAATATCTGGGCCCATTATCTTTTTCGAACACACTTCACCACATTTCTGTCACGATTTACCAGCAAAAATTGATGGCATTATAGCGGCGATGTATCATATAAGCAACGTCAACACTGTATACTCCTTGCCCTTTTACTGAACAGTCAGTGTTTATAACCATGATGACCTTTCCATGAATTTCCTTTTTTTATCACCAGATTTCAGTATACGTTTCGGGATTCTGTTGCTAAAACTCCTTGAGAACGCTTGGTAAGAGTCGTCTTGCCCACGGATCCTCAAAGAACATCTCTGCTATCACACTTTCTTTCACACGGTACATTGTGCTTCTAGATGCCGTAATACCATCATAACGCCGAAGCCTGGTGATGAGATCACGGCTCACCAATGATGGGTTAGCCGCAAGGGCGGAACTTATCCCTGGGAGAGCACTAAGTTGATTTCTAGTCGGTTTGGCTCTTTACAGTTGACCTGTGACAAGCTGGCGCTTATCAAATGACAATCACCTACACCACCTTTCTGATGCGATAGATATAAACGAAGCACTAACATCCGGCATCAGCACTACCGCACACGAGTTTTTAATTGTGCAACAGGGCACACTTCGACTGTCACAAGTCAGACAGTCTAACCGCATTCACCGTCTCCTTACCACTTGACCAACCCTTTTCCTTCAAGATTGAAATGTCAAGGTCCAACGCGGTGCTCATTGTGAGCCCTTCACAAACCGATTGTACGTCTGACAGACCGAAGCTAGCGTTATAAATATGCAGCTGCCAAATCTGGTCTGAACATATACGATTAATCTTTATAGATCAAACATGTTCAATGTCAACAATATCAACACATTACATTGTGTCATTTTACAGTCGTGTATTTTCTAAAAAAAATGCTTGCGCAGTAATGAGCAAACGTATTGGCTGCTGTCAAGAAACTACTTGAAAATACCTGCTACAGTCAGCTCCCTGTATAAAATCCTCTGTTTTAACATCCTCTGATATAACATCCTCCTTCAATAAGATCCAAATTAGGTTTGGACAAACAGCGATGTCATAAACGGGAGCTGACGGTATTTGCTTATCTCGAACGAAATTGTACTTCACTCTGTCCTTCCAAAACCGGTATATTGTACCAGGGCACTAAACCATAGCAATAGTGTTTTGAGCAAATTGTGTCACGATTTGGTCAACCTTTCAAGCCGTGTTACCTGATGGAATATTCCCTTGACAAATTCTTCGATAGCTTGAAATGTCCGGTGCCACTGTAACTCTTATATAGAGGTTGTCTCTTGTAAATCTCTTTTGTGGAGAGGGGTGAGTGTAGTGAGTGTATATCGCAAGTACTTCCAACAAGGCGGCCAGCCACTCAGTTGGCACTCACTTGCGATTCGTTATACAAGTAAACAGATCACTACAATGGACGTTAATCGTTTACCGCCCGCAACTCGAGAGGTTCGCACACCTTCTCGCAAGGAGCACTTTCCATCAATCCTTACAAACTGTTGTATCTTTTACAACGTACACAGGTGCTGAACGATCTCCTGGTTGAACGTGGTCTCACGGAGTGGCGGGTCGTGAGTGATGTTCGGGTCTCCACCAACCGGATCGAAACCGTTGACGTGATCTACGGCAACGTCATTACGTCGAGGTTAGAAGAAGAGCGCATTGATCAAAGGCGTAAGCGGAAGGCTGAACAGGTGCTACACGTCACGCAGAAATCAACATGGAGTGGTTTCGTCGTGCTTCCTGCCGTATCCTCCATTCCAACACTCAGCGTGAAGGGGTTCGTCTTTAGCCTAAGTGCAACTTCTGTCATTGTGCTATTACGTGACGCAGCTTTATACATGCTGTGGTCGTGGACAGACTACTGGAGCTGCAGCAGTGCGTTGACGTCAATCATCCGAGTGACGTCACTTGTACCACAAAACGAACATTCCTATGTCTCACGGATGCCGCAAACGTTAGGTTCGACGCGGTGGAAAAACAAATTTTGTTGTAGCGCACTGTATACTAACTTATCATTGTTGTCGTGCAGCTACTACGTTCTTCAGACACCAGCCATTCTACCGTCTTAAATATTTCCACGTCACGTTTTACGTTGTGATAATGGTATCTGACCTTTGACTTGAAGTTTGACCGACTTACCGTTCGGTGATCGTTTTAGTGGTAATTTGGAACATGTTGTCATCACCGCGGCAGGATCTGCTGCTTTGTACACCGTACCCAAGCTGACTATTGCGTGACAACTATCGTGATTGACTCAGCGTCATCCACAACGAAGGTCCGTTCCTCTGTCTTACAAGGACATTCGAGTCATAGAATGCGGTCACCACATTGCTGGATCTTTTTGCATGGGCGACCCGCATGCTAAATGTGACAAAGCTTCATCCTCCTACTAAGGACCAAGTGCGGCACAAACGCAAGTTAGACGCGACTAGGACATCTTTGGGGTGGTATTCACGTTGTTGCAACAAGCGATCGATGGCAATTGATATCGTGAAGGACAAACGGAAGTTCACTCAAGAGCTCACTGAGCAGAGCAACATATTGGCGAAAACTGTTTGCCCTGGTCACATGTAAATGTTCACATGGTTGTCCAGTTTTGGACAGCATGATCATTTTGCGGCACGAGCCTGTGAAGCAATAGGTACGCTAACGCTTTTATAGACCATCCCACCGAGTCATTCTAAACCCAATAACGAGGACACTATGAGTGGTACCCATGTGGCACTTGACAATGACATCAATCTCTTCGGACGCGAGCAAAGAGCTGTTGCTCGGCTCAGCACCGAAGGGAATGTTGTCGTTATGGCACTTTTCAAATCAATGTTCATTTCACGAGACAGTGGTGCCCAACTACGGTTAATATCCTAGGCTGGTTCGCGAATGCTCGAGGACTACAACAAGAAGAATAGTATCTCCCACAAACGTCAGCTAAGACAAAATACGTTGCACTTGCTGCTCATACCAACTTGCTTTTCATTAAGTTCGTGAAGCCATCAGCTGAAAGGACATGCAAGCAACCGCAAGAATCGAGTAACTTTCGACTGCATCGTACAATCACAACCGCATTATTGCCGCGGACGGCTACCCAGACTCTGGATACACTGGTAACAGTGGTGGATAAAGGAAAGGGTACATGCAGGCTTCGTACACCCTGGCAACGATGCAATTAAGATCCATGCTATCAGCACCTTATGTGTGTAATGTGAGGTGGAGATTCTTGATAGGCATAGAACACAAACGCTCTGACGTATGCGGTCTTTTACAAGGTGACGGCTACACCAGGTCTAAACCAGTTGCCGGACGTAAACTGTGTTGAGATACACGTCATGTACGGTATGATGTTCTTGAACGATCGATTTAGAAGCCGCTGGAGGAGAGAAAACGGGACAGCATCGCGAGTTGTTATCCCTTACAGCTTCGAACGGCTATGCAAGCAGGGCAAACGCTGTGAAATCTGTCATTTACATCATCGACACGTTTATGAAGTTACACCTTGCGGCGCCTTCAAATTAGAAATCGTATCCTTTTTACCCTGCATCCCATTGTCACTCTGATGTTGTACTAACGGATACCCCCAACTAACATCATCACTGCCGTGTAAATGTCCTCTGGCTACCATTCCCGCCATCCCAAATTTGCTCAGTATAGAGTTTGCGTCTTGCTCAGAACCAATAACGTATACCTCGATATGCTAGTATGCGACAACACCGCTAAAGTAGTGCATTTATCAAGGCTATCAGGTAGTTCTACTTTCTCCTCCTGGCTAGGCATCCCTGGCACTAGGCACACACACTTCCCGTTGCACAGTTTCTCCCATTGAACAAGCCTATACCCTACGTGGTGCTACCATGTGCATGACTTCCATGTGTGAAATCTGCTACAGGTGTGTAGCTCTTACAGAAAAAGGAGGGGGTACACCCAGCCACACAGTAATGCAATCTCCCGTACAACAGAAGGGACACCACCCTCACTCAGGGAGGCTGTAGCCATTAGCGTAAGAGTATTATCCGTATCTTGGAGACTCAAAAATGCTGTACTCCTTGACAGTGGTCCTCGATGGGTACAAGGGTCTCACAGCATTGCAATTTAGTCAGTCCAGAGAACTTCTGCATCGTATATTGGTGCAGTCATTTTTCCACCTCGCCTGTTCTTTTTTACGTGTATGCATTTGGTGTGAGAACCGTATGGTGATGCAAAACGCTCCTTGAATGTTTTCCATCCCGTCAATTTGCTCGCAACCATTCCATGATCTGGGCGAAAGAGACGGTATGTGAAGACGTCCTTTTGATTCAAGCTTGTGGGGGAAGTCCTAAATATTTTCGCTGTATTTGCGAGACTAAACAATCTCAAAATTAAGCTTGGCAGAACAACCATGCTTTCCATTATGGAGATCGCATCCTTGTGCTGCAACATGACGAATAGTCTAGTAGAATTGGTAACTAAGGATAACCGTGACCAAGTGTTGAGTGTACGATACATTGTCAAGGATGACAGAATTACGGAGTAGGAACGCTCTACGGTAAGTACATACCTGTACAAGGGGGAGCCATATCCAGGGGGGTACCTAGTTAGGATGGGCACGCCGGATTTCCCTATTGTTGAGATATTATCTAGCTCTTGCAACCTAATGTGGTATTCGTAACCTGCATACACGAGGGTTGCCATACCTACCATTCCTGTTCTTGAGCTCATAACACTGTGACACCATAAAAACCCTAAACACAACCTGCAAACTATAGCCAGGTTTAGCAACTCGTTTAGTCACTAGAAGCTTCTTCCACGGCAATGGCGGTACGACTTACCCGAATGTCATTTCAATCTTTTTGGCCATGGCGGTGCGACTTACCCGAATGTCATTTCCATTTTTTTGGCAATGACCTCCACTATTTTTTTCTTCTATCGACGACTTTTGACGTTTCTATTTGGGCGGTGGCATCAAATTAAACGCATAAGAATTGACACCAACAGAAGACGGGACAATTAAATTTTGTGTTCTTGCAACAATACAACTACGCGCTTGGTTTCACAATGTTACGCCAACTCGATGTCAGAGTACATGCATTTTACTGCATATTGTGCAGAGGCCAGCACGTAATTTTGTAATTTGTCAACGCCACTGACTAGGTTGAAGAATATTAATTCTTACTAGTTTTAGCGTCTCTGACAACCCAGGAAGACATTTAGTTGTGTCGTTGACGTCCGGAAAAAGTAATGATGCCCAATCCTACTCATACTTTACGCATATATAGTATTCATGTTGCAATTTTTTTTACAGAAAGGACATCTTGCTTTTGATCTGCAGTCCCCCTCCGATTCCCCATTTGAACTGCCGGTCGCAAATGCCTCAAGATCTAGGGACGCATAATTTCGTTTAAATTGGTGATGGAGATCCTCCAGTTCATTTTCTTGTCAAACATGAAACGAGGTCGTCAAGATGCCGCTTTATATCCGAATCTGCTGTCGCACAGAGCCCTCCTTTTGTTAACATGTATTTTTCTTTGTTCAGGCCTGGCCGGACCTCCTCAATCAAATTGCAACTCTTTCTCTTACTACAATGATTTCTGCATCGACTACCAATGTGATCTTCTGCGAACTAAGGTGAAATGGTTCTACGCAATTGCTTTAACCGGACAATCAATGTCTCAATTTGCATAAAAAGGTCTACATGTAGCACACCTGGTCCACCAATGACTACACGCAATAGAGCAACTGAACCGAATCGAAAGCCATAATCAGGTGCTAATGTATCGCCGCTGGACCTTTGTGATCTCTTGCATCACCTCTACTGCTTCCGAGATACCCCCAAGTTGTTATGCTATCGAAAATTTCTAATGTGGCTTCTCGCTTCATTTCACGTTTTTAGTGCAAGTGATTCGCCGCATTGTTTGTGGAAAGCACTTTTTAGTCGACTTGAGCCGGATTCGTGCGTCGCATTTACGTATTGTTTTTTACCTGTAGCTGAATTTAGAGTTGTCATCTGCGAAAATCGAGCGCCGGTCTGGACACAAGCAGTCACCCTTCTGGACTGAACGCTCACTATTCGGCATGCTGCACCTCGTCATTTTTGCTCGCCCGTCAGCGTAAACGTCTTTTCAAATTAAGCTGTGATGTAAACTCGTTTCATCAGACCAGCTCTGTCTTATCTTGACGACGTCACGTTGCTGGACCGTTTTGTAAGAAATGCCGCTGTCATCACCGGAGTTGATACTCCTGTGCATCTGTGCTCGGGTTTTGTTGGTCTTCCGTGTTTATTCCGAACATCGTATGTTTCTCCTCATCTATTTCCGTCACACTCTATTTAGCATTTCGTGCTTGTTATCCTATAAAATTAGCGCACTCTAGGTAGAATCTGCTTCAATTAGCGCAAATTGTCCAGGATTGTGTGCTTGTCGAATCCACAATCGAACGCACTGTGCGCGACATCGACACGGCACTTCATCTTCGTCGCACACCAAACGACTGCTGAACTGAACGGTTTGGAGTGTACCTATTAGCCATTAGAAACCTTTGACTGTACATCAAAGCATGTCGGAGGAACTCATGGAGGAGGCACCACCACGGGCAACCGGCACCCCATCGGAGGTTAGCGATGGAGGATCACAAAGTGCCGACGACGCCGCGACTAACGACGATCTGCAGTCTCCAGCACGTGGCGGATCCGAGCCGAGTTCAACTCGAGCAGCAGATTCCCGGGCTCACCTTTCGCTGCGAGAAAACGGGCCACTCATGTCCGAGAGCGGCGTGACGTCGTCGTCGTTGGAGCTGCTGGGACCACTGGGTGTCGAGAGGGACGGACTGGGTATCAAGGGATACCTCTGTATGCGCGACGAAGGGGTGACGTATCACCGCATGAAACGGTTTTATTGTCGCTGCGTTGGTGTCAACTTCTCGCGGTTTGCGTCGCGTGATGTGGCGTCTACAATGATTGCAGCAGTCTTTAGCGCCGAAATGCAGAAGGTAGAGGAATGGGACGGCAAAGGCTTGTGGCACACGTACCATCACTCGTTCAAGCTGTCATTTACGTCGGGTATTGTGTTTAATATGGATGCCGACTCGGAGGAGGACAAGCGGCAGTGGCTCGAGTACATCCAGAAAGCATTGCAAGGAACAGAGGCTGCAGTTGAGAAGTGGTCGGCGCATGCCTCAGTGTGCCCCACTATTCTGGAACTAACTCCAGGAGGTCTCACGTTTGCTGAGAAGAAATGCAACGCCCCAAAGTTTAAGAATGAGGTGACGTGCTGCCATCCGGGCTGTCATGTACGGTTTGATAGCACTGGAAAAAGACAGCATCATTGTCGAAATTGCGGCGGGTCCGTATGCTCCGACCATAGCTCTCGGTTCGCCATTCTTCGACACCTCAGCATGAGTCACACTGTGCGAGTTTGCATGAGCTGTTATCGTGTACAACGCTTTGTGCTATGGCTTGGGATGCTGCTACAACGTCTGTATATCGCTCAAACGGAGGAAGAAGGCGTGGAAAAACCTCTTCTATCTGATGCCGACGAGGAAGAAGTAGAGGCATTGATCACGATACTTGGAGACGATGCCTTTGGTATATCCGATGTGATTCAAGTCCTTCATTTGCATCGTCACGGGTGCGATGAAGCGTATGCTTACGCCGTGAATAAGCTGCTGGTGCTTTCAGCGTCCAATCTTGCGGACTTTGAGTTCTTTCTCCCGCAAATCTTTCATATGTGGCTAACGGTGGACTGGACGAATAACAATATCAAGGCAGCGCTCCTTTTTCGAGTTTTGTGCTACGCAACTCAACTGCACATTCGTCTAGCAACAGCTGTCTACTGGCTGACCCGTGCAGCCATCGACGATAGCTGCGGTTGGGGTTTTGGTCAGTCGGAGCTGTATGTGCCTGATTTCCTGTACCACAAAATGAGCACATGCAAGCTCTTGATGATGAACGTGGAGATGCAGATCTCCCGTGGTGACTGGACGTTCGAAGTGGACGAGGATTTGCCCGCATCAACAGCTCAAACTGCCATCATCAAGTGCCTTTTTGATCGCATGTTAATCCTTGTTCACTTGGATGCAAAGGTCACACTTCCTTTAGGTCCAATTTGTGGTGCCGTGAGTAGCTGTTCAATTCCTCGTAGTTTCTTGCTCCCTAGCGATGCACTTCCAGAAGACTATTGTCAAGACAACGGGGAAGAGCGTCGGATGTTCACGACCCAGATCCAGTTCATCAAGGAGCTATGTGCGATGACAGAAAGGCTGAGGTTTTATCCTCCAAATGAGCGAAAATCACATTTGAAGGTAGAGTTAGAAAATCTTCGGCTTCTGGAAGAAGCTTTTTGGCCATTTGGCTCCTGTGACAACCCGCTGCAGCGACTACTTACGATCGCAAAAGATGAAGGGACGATTTTTACGACAAGGGCTCGCGCACCGACACTAATCTTCTTTGAGGTTGCAAGGCTGACAACAGATTTCGAGAAGAGTGCGTGGCTATATCGTGGCCGACCTCTCATCTTTGGCGGCCAAAACGGTAAGATTTGTGATTCGGAGAGTAGCACCGATGTTGGAGGGCTCCAAGTTCTGTCTCTTGTTCCTGAAGCCAGAGTTGTTAAGAATGCTATTGAGATGGCTACGAGCAGCGATATTGCACAAGTAATTGCAATGGACACATTTTCTGGTGACGAAGGTGAGCAAGACAAGGATGATTTTATCGACGAGCACAAGCGTTCGGGTTATGATGAGTCGGCAAATAGCGCTGATGGGGATGATGAAACGCGAGAGCTAAGGGACCGTGTTTCGTCGGACCCGCTGCCATCGCTGGTCTCTCTGGCTACTGACAAGAAGAAGCGCAGTCGCCGTGACCGGCCAGGTTCGCTGATGAACTCAACCTCAAAGTCTTTGGATTCAATTATTGCTTCCTGCGCGGAAACAATCAAGAGTCGACGAAAGCGTTCAATCAGCGAAGGTTCAGAGTTCAGTAGCACTGAAAGGCCACACTGGAATAAGCAGGGCTCCACATCAAATGACATCGAAAATTTCACTGATGAGCAATTGATCTCGATGGCTCAGAACATGGAGATAGGTATGCTAGAAAGCAATCGATCCGGGAACGGCACTTTTACTGGCAAGGAGGTCGTGGAGTGGATGACAGAGAACGAAATCGTGTCGAACACGGCACATGCGCTCTGGCTAGGAAGCGAGCTACTCCGCAGTGGTGCCCTCGAGACGGAATCGAATTCTTCTGGATCCGTAAGTGGTTTTGAAGCCAATGATGAGACAATGTATCAGTTAAGAAAGCAACTTGGCACACAATTACCAGAGCATACTCACCAGACACTGCGGTCTGGTACTCATCCGATCTCTTCAGGAGCTAATGCAAAAGTGACCAGAGAATGTAATGATTCTATGTCCCGCACGTCTTCGCGTATTATGTTAAAGCCTCAAGAAGTGAAGGTGGATATTGCCGACTTGGCTGATGCAGTCGGGGCTAACTTGATCAGCACAAGTGCTGAAAGCGCCCCGAATTCCGCCTTGAAAGCTTCAAAGCCACTCAAGAACTATCTCACGGGCCCTTCTGACGAGAGGCCTTCCGTTGCTTCGAACGTTCATGATGGCTCATTTATTTTGAAATTTGAGCCTGATGTAGCAATTGCAGCAATGGAATCAGTAGAGCAAGCGATGCAGCAATATGTGTTATTGCAAGGAGTTGGAGATACTACCCAACTGAGTGAAGACCTTCAGGTGCTGAGAGAGCAACTAAGTATCGTGTACGAGTATGTTATTGCCAAAAGGAAACGTCTTCACGTTGCTGTAGAGTCAGCGTTCGGGGAAAGTTTCGAAGAAAAAAAGGAGCGTCTGCGTGACACATCATCGCACGTCGCAGCATTGCAATCAACGGATTGGGATTGCGTTGCGTTGATTGTTAAATCCAACGATGACCTGCGGCAAGAGGTTTTGTGTCAGCAGATCATCCGTCAGCTACAGGATATCTTCCATAGTGCGGACTTGCCTCTGCGCTTGTTGCCGTACGAAATCATCGCAACTTCAGCGTCCACTGGTATGATTGAATACGTCAAGAATGCAGTATCGCTTGACGCGTTGAAGAAGAGGGGTAACTACACGACCCTAGCCGACCACTTCTTAAAAACATACGGCCAGACGGATTCTGCGGCGTACAAGACCGCGATGACTAATTTCGTGCGGAGCATGGCTGCTTATTCGTTGGCATGCTACTTCTTGCAGATTAAAGACCGGCACAATGGCAATATCATGATTGACAGTGATGGCCACGTCATTCACATCGACTTCGGTTTCATACTCGGCATTGCTCCTGGAGGTCGGTTTAGCTTGGAGACAGCTCCTTTTAAGCTGACGGGCGAAATGGTTGACGCTATGGGCGGCACGCAATCGGACTACTTCAAGGCCTACGTTATCTTTCTCATTCAAGGATTTTTGGCTCTTCAGGTAATGTCAATCATGCTTGAAGTGTGTAGTTTCCGATGCTGATCTTCTACATTGTCGTTTTATTCGTGCAGCAACACGCCGATACCATTCTGATGATGATCGCGATCATGGCCCAGCAGTCGTCTTGTCCATGTTTTCTATCCCAAAACCCGCGAGACATCTTGAGCGCCACAAAGCAACTCTTCCGCCTTGACTACAACCAAAGCCAAGTCATCAAGCATGTGATCAGTCTTGTCCGCCGCAGCCATAGTAGCTATCGCACTCGCCAGTATGACGTTTTCCAGCGAATGACAAACGGCATTCTACCCTGATTAGACAGCGGAAAAGCGAAGCTGGTGGCATGGCTTGATTGCGTCTGTGTACCGAACCCGAAAAAAACGAGTCGAAAGGCCTGGAACTTAGTATACGTATGAACAGCTCCACCACTTGCATTAAATTCTGAACAGTCTAATGATCCTCACCCTTTATTCCAGCTCCACCTTACGAGGGCGACCGCGAGGGCGACCAGTAGCACTGCTGGTCTCAGCCTTCACTATTTTGAACGGGTTCTTGGACGACTTCTTCAGCTTCGCCACAGGCATGCTACCGAGTGAGAACCGATTCCGCGAAAGCGACCGCGACAGCACGCTGTTCGACTCTTGCGCTGTGATCACAATCAAGCCATGGCATAGTTAGACGCTATGTTGATGTCGAACAAATATGCGGCGTACGTTTTTGGGTAAGTTCCGACGAAGGCATGTCTTGCGATTGCTCAGCGTCTTGAGAGCGGTATACAGGAGATTTGTCACGAATTTTGTCAACCTGCCTCGATTTCTTACCCTTCTCGGAAACAATAGACACATCTTCTTCATCTGCCACATATCCCACACCAACTGCATGTGAGATCATCATTTATTGCAATCACAACATAACAGCAAATCCTAACCATCTTTGGTCAAATCAGCCAGCAGGTTCTGCGAGTAGTTCAACTCCTCATCGTCGGACGATGAAGACGAGTCGCTCTCCACCAAGGTAGCCTTCTTCGGAGAATGCTCAACTCGATCTCCGACGACAGGAGAATGGTCAGAGTCCACGGATGATTCGCTGGCTGTACTCTCCGCAGACTTCACAGATCGCTTTAAACCTTGCACGGGCTTCGCACTGTTGTCAGACCAAGTATCTCGAGCATTCCTTTCAGCGGCGATCCGCTTCGATGTCTCCGCCAAAACTTTCTTGAAACCCTTCGATTCGCCAGTCTCCTTCAGCTTCCCGTTAGCTTTCCTCTTGGAGACAGGAGTCTCTACCACTTCAGTCTCTTCACCAGAAACGACCTCGTTACCAGGAGAGTGAGAATCAGCACTCAACTCGGTTTCAGGCGTTGCAACCTTCACCACTGGCTTCGCTTTTTCCGTTGTCTTCTTCACGACAGATGCCTTCAGCGACTCACCTTTCTTAGCACGCTTCGCCACTGGCTTCCCCACGTCATCAGACTTCGCGCCAGCTTTCTTCTTCGATTTTCGACCGATTTGCGTGGTCTCGCTAGCTGTTGATGAGTCATCATTCACTTCCGATTGTTGCTCGTCGGTGGCCACTGCATTATTCTTTAGCACGGCTCGCTTCTTGTCTTTCGCAGCCGTCACTTTCTTACTCGTCGACTTCTCAACCGTGACCGCCTCATCGTTGATCACCTTTGGTGCTGGCTTCGACGTTTCAGCCACCTTCACTGACTTCTTCTTCTTCAGGGGAGGTTCTTCAAGAGGCTCATGATTTACTTCCGCTGACGAGAGGTCGATTTCGCTGGCTTTTCGCGCGCGCTCGCTTTTTGATGGCGCTTCTTGGACGTCGCCATCAGAAGTTGGAAGAGAATCTATGATCAAAGAGGCACCTGAATCTGATGCAGATTGCCTTGCTGCAAGCATCTTTTTCAAAAGCGCATTCTCGCTTTTTTTCGGAGCGGCCTTTTTTGCAGCCTTCTTCACAATGCCTTCGTTCGTCTCAGCAACGATTTTTTTCGACTTTGACTTCTTCTTCTCCTTCACGTCATCTGTCTTCTTCTTATCAGTCTTCTTTGACACACTCTTCTGCTCCGTGCCAGTCTTGGTCGACTCGTCTTTCAAATCAGCCTTCTCGCTACTCTGCTCCACCGCAACCTTCTTTGTACCATTGCTTTTCTTGGCAACAAGTTCTTTCGCGTATTGAGTCTCTTTTGTAGCACATTTCACAATGCCACTAGAAGCGTTTTTCTCCTTGACCCGTGCTTTGTTCACGACAGGAGTCTCGCTTGCAACTTGCCGCTCCTTCTCCACAACCTTTTTGTTGCCGTCCGGCACCTTATTGACTGTACTTTCGCTGCTCTGGGTTCCAGTTTCAGCAGGCTTCCTGTCCACAGCATCCGCCATCTTCTCCAGAACCTGCTGCTGTTTCTGTGCACTCTTAGCCCCCAATCTCTCCTGCCCCTCATGAGCTACAATTGCAGTCTGCTTGGCCATGACCAGCTTTTTCAATTTCGGTTTCATGCTGGGCACGATGTAAATCTGCTCCATGTTCTGGAAGACGTTGCCAGCCTGCACGTTCTTGGCCAGGTCCACAAAACTATGGGCCGCTTCTTGCCGCACTGAAGAATGTGAACGACGATCCAGCACTAGATCAGGTGACACGCACTTCTGAATGCGCAGGCCGCGGCAGAGCAAAGGCAATTGTGGAAACAGCCGCGCGTACTCGTCCGCGATAAAGACCTCCAAGTCCTCAATTGTCTGCGCGCGTGAAGTCTGCACTAGCATCACGCGGTTGTCCTCGGGCAGCATCACCAGCAGCACCATTTCTCCTTCCATCGCTGTCCCAGCCGTTGTCATGGGTACAAAGACCCACGCACACTGAGACGTTCTTGGTGTGTCGATTAGATTTAAGAGTGACATCCTCGCGACTGGCTCCGAGACACTCGTACCTAAACGGGAAGGTCCGAAGGCCACAAAGTAGTCTCTTTACCGGTATATTACTGTACATGGTATCAGTGCAAGAGACGGTGCGTGAGGTAGCGACAAAAGCTAGTTGCTATCTGAGGCACTTGTTAGGGTTTGCCTGGCCCGTACCCAAAAAAAATCTGCACAATCTGCACCGTACCCAAAATTTTGTGCTCACTGATATAAGTGATTATGAATGAAATCGGAGTGTGTTACGTTTCTTTTCCAAATTTTCTCCCGGTACATGACACAACTACTTATGTGGTGTACTCTTTACTTTCCTTGATAGATTTTTGGCATTATAACGTCAGATAGCGTGTTAAACATTCTTTTCGTCAAATGTCTACATTTCATCACGCGGTCCAAAACTAAAACGGTGGATCGCTCAGCAAAGCGACCAATCTTGCGCCGTGCTACTGCATCGTCGTTATATTTCTCCTTTGCTACATCTCGCTCTAAGTCATGATCCATTCGAAGTAGTGGAAACGTACGTACTTCGTTACACCAAGCAATATGCGTGCGATAACCTTTACAAAAATGGATGCACGATTGCGCGACTGAATAATCCCGTCTTCTCCCTTAACATTTGCGTAGTGCCCACATCTTCACTCCTGGGAGGCATGGCAGCAACGCCTCAGAGCGCCATAGAGCAATTTACAGCTGTCTCTTCTGGAGAGAGGCAAGAGTCAATCAAGACTGTAACGGGGCACCCTGAAGCTTGTACTGGTAACAGTGCAAGCTACTTATTCTGATGACGGAATAAGGCGGTGCCCCGGAACTTCACGTACACTCGTACGTGCAGAGGAAGACGATAGAAGAAGCGAGTACTTAGTTTAAGTAAAAAGTAGAACTGTATTTATTATAGTTAATGTCTGTTAATAAACCCCCTGTTTATCCTCATCCAACTATGTCTAAATACAAATGTGTATATCAAGTATCTGCGCTCCACTCATTGCGTGCATCTGTCGTGGCGCGTCTTCGTTGGTTGATATAATGGCCTATATCAACCAATTAGGAACTACTCGTAAGTGCTACAGAATATTTGTCCTTATAACAATATTCTGAGAATATAACTCTTATAGTTATATTCTATTAACAATTTCTTATAAATTGTTATGTAACGATTCACCCCGTTACATCACCCCCCCTTAACCATCAGTCACTTTAGTGACTGATTGACTACATGGATACTCGTCCCAAATCAGTTGGGACAGGGTTTGCACTTGTTGGTCCGAGTCCACTTTCCAACATTTCATCGCATGGTTAACAAGCCCATGCGGTGCGCGAGCAAGGCCGCCGAGAGCGCGTCCGCACATCTCTGTGCGGACGCCGAAAGCAGAAACCACAGCAACTGATGTCTCATCGGTTGCTGAAGCGACTCATCCTTTGTCACTTGGTGATGCAGGCGCTGGTCATGAAGACACTCATGTCTTCGCAGAGTATGAGCTCGGAGTCTCATACGCTCCTGATACGGAAGACGGATCCGTATCGACGGCGATCGAATCCAAGCCGCCTGCCAAGCGCGGCCTGGATGATGCTACGCATCGTAGCATCTTTGGTTCGTCTGATGAATCAGATGAACCATCGCCAAAGCGAAGGCGCTCGAGACCGCAAGACTCGGGCGCTAACAGTGGTGTTGGTTCTCCTACGGACACCACTTCGCAACAAGGTACCAGTCCTTCTGTCGGCACGTCACAGTAAGAGCGGGACCGCATTGTGTTGCGTCTCGCCCCCGAGAAGAAGGCATGGATGCCTCCAGAATCAGATATGGATCACTTGTCGGCGACGACGAGTGACCGTTATCGAACACGGTTGTTCGATTCGTCAAGGATCCATCACCTTGACCCCAGCGCGAAAAACTATCGCGCTGAGAATGAATTCTTCATCGATGCTTTCTTTAAGCATCGATGGTACAGTGGGAATCACAAGCGTGATGGTCCCTCACTACTTCAAGCGTGGAACGCCTACATTCATAACCTTGAGGATGTAGGTTGTGACGTATGGAACGACAAACTTATCAAAGCTCGTGATGAATTTGAAAAGAGAACCCCGACAGGTGCATGCTACAGCTGCATCGTCTGTCTAAGGAGGGTGGGTTACCCTGTCTCTCCTGAGGAGACCCGTGCTCTTGCTGTGTGAACAACTCTGCGCGCGCACCTAAGGAGGCTTACCTCCTTACTAGCCCGTGGTGGCGCGTACGTATCTCTTTTGAGATGTACGAAGGGCTTGACAACCTGAAATCCCTTTACGACCGTGCCGGGAAGACTTTCTCCGGCGGTCCCTCTGCGGCACAGGATGTGCCGCGTCGTACTGCTCAACCAGACCCAGTACGTCAACCATCAGTTGGGAGCGGGGCTCCCAAGTATCCCAGGACGGGGGATAACCGCGCCACCGGACGAGATAACTCGTCCGACGTCCGTTCACGTCGCGGTGGTTCAACAGCTGCTCAACTAGATAGCGCTGGCCACCGCGAGAGTCCTCCAAAGGAGGTGGAGGAGGAGGGAAGACGCTCTCCAAGCTATCATAGGGGAGCGTGTGTCTCCGAGAGTCTCTTTGACCGCGTAACTCTTGCGTTACGCGGCGACCTCGAGCATGAGCGGGACAGGCGTCTTCAACTGGCGGACACTGTCTTGAAGCATCGAGCTGAGTTTGCCTTTGCTCAGCTTGAGAACGAGAGAGCTCTGACATCTCTTGGTGACGAGCTAAGAGTAGCTCGTGTGGATATTGACCGGTCTCGGGCTGAGATAACTGCTCTTCAGACCCTTGTTGATATCCACCATCGGGAGCACAAGGCTCTCTGTGAGATGCTTGAGCGCAAGGACGTTCTTCATCGGAAGAAACAGCGTACTGATGGTACGGCTTAAGCCGACCAACGTAAAACGTGGGATGCGTTTGCATCTTCCGTGGCAGTTCGATCGTGTATGCGTTGCCTAGGCGACGCAATACACGAAATGGACCGATGTACTTGGGTAGAAGTTTACTACTACCCAAGTTAGTCACTACTTGCTTTGGTAGATTAACCGTTGACAGTAGGACTAAGTAACCTTTATTAAATAAAAGAGTGTTTGCCCTTCCATTCTTGTCAGCGTTTTGCTTTTGCTTATCCACCGCTTCGGCGATGGAGTCTTGCACAAAACGGACTACCGTTTCACGAGCCAGTATGAACTCATCTGATGACTCGTTAGCTTCAGTGCGCTGTGAGCGCACTGCAGCAACATCGACCTTTTCTTCAGTGAGGGCTTCCGCACTCTCACTGGCATCATCTTCTTCGATATCGATGTTATCGATATCGGCATCAAACGCAGTGACCTCTTCGTCAGAGCGTGATGAGCGTGAACCAACTCGGTTTTTGCTCGCGCGAGTCCCTCCCCTCCTTAAACCAGAGTTACACTCGAGTAAGGTGGGTACACGCGGATGGCGTAAGCCATTCACGTAAAACGGTTTATGGGTCGTGGACGCATGCACCGAGTTGTTAATGGCAAACTCTACCATTGGCAAGAACTCACTCCAACTCTTAAAGGAGTGTACGTATCCTCGAAGTATCGCTTCGAGGACACGATTGGCTCGTTCCGTCTGACCATCTGACTCTGGATGATCAGATATCGACATCTTCAAGCGCGTTCCGAGTGATTTGAACACGGAACGCCAGAAATCAGATGTGAAGCGTGGATATCTGTCTGATACGAGTTCACGGGGCAACCCATGAAGTCGGAAGATGGTGTCAATAAAGACACAAGCACAGCCACTTGCCGTGATTGACTCTGGTACAGCCACTAGGTGTACCATTTTGCTGAATCTGTCAACAAATACGAGAATACCCGTATTCTTGCGTGCGTCTTTGGGTAACCCGAAGACAAAATCCATTAAGATGGATTCCCAGCACTCTGCCGGAACTGGAAGAGGCTGTAAAGGTGCACGAAGTGAAGGACTTGACTTCCTCGTTTACAGACTTCGCATGCGCGAACATACTTTCGCACAAACTGATACTGGCGGGGCCAGTAAAAGTCTCGACTCACCGTGAGATATGTTTTCTCCCGGCCACGATGTCCTCCTATAGGAGCATCGTGATACTCGAACATGATCCGCAAACGCAGATCAGTATCATCTGGAATGACAACACGTGGTGTGTCACCAGAAACGGCTGTATAATACAGCAAACCGTTACGAGTAGTGTATCGATCTGATGCAGATCGATACGCAGACGATAATCGTTTCAGCGATTCTCGAGATGGTTGTGAAAGATGTGTCGACAACTTCACAATCTCACCATCTTGGGCATACACCCGCCTCACATCATCATGTAACGTTGAAGATGGTATGGTGGACGTCATAACCGCAACAGTGGCTGTCTCACTGTTGGGTTTCACGACTGGTTCAAAGTCGGGCCGACGTGAGAGTGCATCAGCGACGACATTAAGTCGTCCTGGTTGTACTCTACCGTAAAGTTGTATTCTGCAAAGAATGACAACCACCGCGCCATTCGTTGTGAAAGGTGCGGGCTGTTTACTGCCGTGCGTAACGACGCATGGTCTGTGTAAACAATGAAGGGTCTATCTCCTAATTGATAGACTCTGAACTTCGCGAGTGCATACTTCATGGCAAGGAGTTCCTTGTCATGCACTGGATAGTTCCGCTCAGCTGGTCACAGCTGACGCGACTGATAGCAGACGACGCGTTCAACGCCTTCAAGATCGTACTGCATTAATGCACAGCCGATTGCGAAATCGCTGGCATCACAGACCACATGAAATGGCCTGTCCTGATCGGCTATTGCTATGACTGGGGGTTGTATCAAGCTCTGCTTATACCATCAAAGGAGCGCTGACATTCAGCGTTCCATAACCACCTCTCGTTTTTCTTTAGTAGACGAGAGAGATGAAAGGTCACCTCGGCGTAATTGCGTGAATACTTATGCAAATACGCCGCTAGCCCAAGGAATTTTCGAAGACCTTTGACATCAACCGGCACAGGACAGTCCGTGATCGCCTTGATCTTTTCGGGATCAGGACGTACACCGTTCTTACCAACGTTACACCCAAGAAGTGGTATTTCGCTTGCTGCAAATATACACTTCTTGAGGTTTGCATACAATTGATGCTTTCGCATGATTGTAAGAACCTGTCGGACGTGGTACCTGTGAACCTCAACATCCGACTTTCCATCCATAGCCCGACTATGGATGAATACGTCATCGAAATAACTCGGCGCGAATTCTCGTACTGGTCTCAACAGATGTGATACACATCTGTTGAACGTGGAAGGGGCATTACTAAGCCCTTGTGGCATTACTAGCCATTCCCAGAGCATGCCGCTAGGCGTGCTAACTGCGGTATAGGGTATATCCCGTTCTCGCATAAGGATTTGATAGAAGCCATCCATCAAATCCATGGACGAAAAGATGGTACTCTTTGACATACCATCAATGATTACGTCCTTCCTCGGTATCGGCGTCTGAGCCGGTACCGTTGCAGCATTCAACTTGTTAAATGCATGCACTATCCGCCACCCTCCTGTTGCTTTTCGCACACAGAAGGTCGGAGAGCTATGTGGGGAAGTTGATTCCCTCACATGGCCCGCAGCAAAACGATCTGCAAAGAACTTGTAGATCGCAAGTACTTGTTCACGAGGCAGTGGCCCCTGCTTCATGACACAGTACTTCGAGCCTGGTTTAAGCTCGACCTCGTGTCGAATACCTTTATCCTTCGGTAATTCGCACGGAACAGTTTCAGGGAATACATCCTTGAATTCAACCAAATCCTTATAGAGAGGATTTGTCTTGAGCAATTCCCACGATTGGGAGTCATATCGCTCAACTCGTGTCTTTTCATCGAGGACACTCTCGTCCATCGATGAACTACTGAGAAGTCTCTCGTTCTCAGTAAACACTGTTGCTGACTTTATGTCGGCTACACACTCGTCGTCAGCGACGAGTACGCAGATCTGCTTGACTTTGCCACTACGCAGATCACGCAAGAACCTTACATGTTCGAGCGTTGTCAACTGAGTGATCTCCGAAGTCAACTTCGGAGGCGCAATCAGATCAAGTGTATAAGCGCCTACAATTGATCCGTCATTGACTAGGACATTCAATGTCTCTGTCATTTCCTGGGGACTTATTCCCTCAGGCCTCGAAGGACTTATTCCTTCGGCTTCCCGGGGACTTTTTTTCTCGGGTTTCGGGGAACTTATTGCCGCCGTATTTGTAATATCGGGACTTATTCCCTTAACTTCCTCTAGCTGGGGTTGCGCAACCACAGCGAGATCCTCTACGAAAGACTCTCCAGTCGATCTAGGATTATCGTTTCGCTTAACCTGAGCGATCGATTGTTTCTCTTCTAGATGTTCCCCGCTAGGGATACATCTTTGTCCCGGTCCACTCGACTTATTCGAGTGGTGGACCTTCGGCGCAGCCTGTGTTTCCTCACAGCCGCCGGAACTTTTCTCCGAAGTGTAACCGTTTGTTACACTAAGGTTTCGTGCAGTCGTACTAACGACCGTACCACAAGTGAGGCCATCGCACTCACTCGTAGTACATCCACACGCTTGTGGACGCTCCAAAACGTTCATCAGATGGCCATCTGATGAACAAGCGGCAGGCATCGTTACTGTTCGATGTTGCCAGTTTACCCGTGGTTCGTACCTTCTGAGCCACGGTATTCCAAGGATGACATCAAATTTGTCATCCAAATCCAATACGACAA